TGTTGCATGTACGAAAAATTGAAGGCGCTTCATCGGCGTTCCATTTCCAACTAGCGCTGCATAAAAAAATAGTTGAACGTAGAAGGAGAAATCAGGCACTTTCCAAAAAGATGTCAGTTAGTTTACTCGTAATAAATTAATCATTATCAATGTTTATTCATTTTTCATGTTTATCTATTTTAAATTCATACAATGAAGCCCTATTGTTGGGGCTATGGCATATGTCACTGTTATGGCACTGTTAAAGTACAATAGGAATAGTAAAATAGTGCAATAGTATACAGAAGTATGATATGAGTATATAAAGTATGTAATAATGCAATAGCATTAGTTTCTAAGACAACTAATAATTTTAATTAGGAATCATTAACTTTAAATGAAAGTAACATTAAATAGTAGCTATTGCAAGAATGTTATTAATCAGCTGTCGTTAGAAATTTTGTTGTGTGTTTTTGTTTTGTGTCGTTAGAAATTAGATTTGCAAAATCCTAATTGGAGATATGGCCTTTTTGTCTTTAATCAGCGAAATACTATATTAACAGATTCAAGGATACATAAACATATTTGTTCAACCCCTTACATAGTTTAGTGTCATAGAGAAAAAAAAGGAGATGTTTGCATTTCGGGCATCTTGGAATTTTTTTGATGACGTAGGTCTGTACAGCGACGTTTATCATCGATTTTCTTGGAAATGGTGTAATTTATGGAAAAAAGTCATTCTATAAAAAGTACTTAAAATTATATCATGAGTTGATTTAAGCCAAAAAATGGGACATTATGGTCCGTTTTTCATACTTCTAATTCCGGATTTCGCTGGTCGAGGTTGTACCGACCTACGTCACAGGGTAAACAAACCTAAAGATGCAAACACCTCCTTTTTTGCTCTATGGTTTAGTGTCACATTTCTTCTGAGTGGTTCATCGGCACCAAACAATTATGTTTCTTTCACTAAGAGCCTCTCCTCTCTCAATATATTGTCATACAAAAATCACTGGAGGTCCAGCTTGGAGACACTTTGAGAATTCATTTCGCGAGTTTGTAAAATTTCCATGCGAGTATCAAGAACTTAGATGTCACCGAACATCGTCGCTCTTCTTGCGTGAGGGCCTATCTTGATTTCCACATGATCCCCAGAAAGCATGGCTTTATATATGAAACAGAGCTCACGCGGAAATTGAGATATGCCCTTACGTCAGAGGAGGGACGCATTATGTGGCAACCGCCCGCTGCTTCTGCCAACTTCTCCACTCGAAGCTTTTTCTACATGAATATCATTCTATCCCCGGTTTTCCGAGATACCGTAAAGAAGTTTTTCCGAAGGGTAACGCTCCTTCTTGATGATGAATTTCCTTGTGAAATTAAATCTCTCTCGCTGTCGCGCGCTTCCAAACGCGAGTGCGTTGAGTTATAAACCTCTTCGCTTGAGTAGCTATTTTTATATAGACTTCCTATTCACAAACTACAATCTAAGAGACCACTGAAAAGCTTCATTCTCGTTTGGGAACAGTTAGGTTGAGTCGAAATTTTCAGTATAACTTTCCCTTAACTGCCCACGAGAGGTTTCGACACGCAGGCAGATAGTGTCGTTGACACGGAGAGGGTATAGCAGGATCCTCGCTGTTTCGCCTTCAATTTTTGAGGTAGGCCAGAGTACGTACTTCCTGTGTATTTCCTTTCTTAATATTAAGTAAGGGACCATCCAGAAGAATGGTACATGTCAAAAACTGCTCCTTTTTAGGAGCGACAAGAAAGTCGTGTAGAAGTCGTTTTTTCTTAGCATGGGCTAAGAAAAAACGTCGTATTAACATTGAAGAGTTGCCACATTTTCCCGGGTTGGACATGTATTTTTGAGGAAGGTTTTGCATATTTTTTCTTGAACTTTTAAGATATTTTAGATTATTTTCTGTACAAAATTGTCGGACAAATGTGAAGACAAGTATTCAGCAGTTTTCCTGAAAATTCGTATTTTATCGGAGGAAGTTCGGCAATGCCTGAAGGCTCATATGGCGTTTTTCCTTAGCACAGCAGAATATACAAAAAGCGATGCTATGATATAGTACTAGTAAAATTAATCTAGATACTCCTTACAATTAGTAGGAGAACCTAAAGATAATTTGCTTCCAGGACTTTATGTCCACCTACCTCGAGTTTTCTTTTTTTTAATGAAATTAATTACTTCATTTTAAAAACATTTACATTTTTAAAACTTGGTAAATATTTGTAAAACCTTTTCCAAGCAATGGCATTGATATGCATCTTAATGAGCCGTAGATGTGATGAAAGAAACTATACAAAAATTAATAAAAGAGGGAAAAAAAGTAAGAAGCACGCAATTTTTTCTTTTTAACTTATTTGTAAATCGACCTCCTTGAGTCAAATACGTCCAATTTTGAGCGTTTGGTTGCGCTTACACCACGCTGCAGCACAGTAAAAGCCCAAAACATAAAATAATAAATTTGAATGCTTTGGAAATCATTAAATTTGACACGGAACCACTATTATATTTACTATAAACACATTATATTTTCCAGTAGTACATATTTCTTTTTCATCAGTTTAAAAGGGAATAATCAGTGCAGAGAGTGCAAACGTTTAAAAAACATGAGTTGGAAAACGCTGACTCCGCGAGTTTAAATATTAGAGCCTAACACAGAGCGGAGCGGCGTGTTAGCAGCGCAGAACGCGCACTGGCGCCTACAAACCTAACGGGATACTTCACGCGTTGCGCAACGCGTGAAGTATCCCGTTAGGTTTGTAGGCGCCTATGCGCGTGTCACGCCGGTTGCCTGCCGCGCCGCAACGCTTTAAGCAGGATATTTCAACACGAAGAAAAAAAACACGGTTACTCGACGGTCACTACGGTAATAATGTCACAAAAAATGTGGTAATATTATTCATAAGCACAGTAGCATAACCATGCTCATAGTAGTATGCCTGTGCCCACAATAAATTTACGGTGAACACGGTCATATCGCCGTGCTCATCGTTACAAGAATCAAAATCCACGGCTATACTACCGTGGAATATTGTGTGACATAACACCGTTGTAACGGTAGAATAACTGTGTTTTTTTTTGTTTCTCGGTGAATGTGGATGCCTAAAAAATGCTTCTTTGCTTCTTGAGCCCCTGCAAGCATAGAATTATACGGAGAACAAGGCTCATGTGGAAATTAAGACACGTCCTTACGTCAGAGTAGCGGCGAAATTAGCGTTATAAAATCCGAAGAGAGTTGTCAACTCCTTGCTACGTAGTTTGCGACACGGTGTGATCGTTGAAAAGAAGCCCAGTCGGGCAGCTCGGAAATGTCGTTACAGAACTTCCGAGAGCGCGTCCGAAACTTGGAGCTGTCCGGCTGCATTGCACTAGGTAATAACTGCGGGCAGTCAAGATATGAACTTTTATTAAAAATCTCGCGCCAGAGATTTAATAAACTTGCGGCGCGACACAAGGCTCATGACGGAAGTTGGGGCAAACGCTAAGCGGTGACACTAATTGACACAGGAACGCGGGAGAAATTGGACCGCTAGAGGGCCTCGTTGATGAGAAACGCCATATAAGCATCCAATCGTCAAATTTTCTTTGACAAATCACGAATTTCCGCGAATATTTGTAAATGTTTCTCTTCCATTTTTTTTTTTTTTCAGAGAATTTCGTTCGTTGCACACGGAGAAAAATCTATGGCTTATAAACCAATTATTGGTTCAATTGGAACACCACTAATAGTAGTAAAGGCAACATAATAATAGTACATATACCTTAGTTATGGTGTATATACCATACTATGGTACGAGCTACCACAGTATGGTTCATAAATCGATAATCATTAGTTCATATACAACTATCACTGGTGTTCCACATGGACCACTAATTGGTTCATAGCTTTTTCTCTGTGTAATTGGATCCAAAATATTTGAACATTTCGAGGACAATGGACCGCGATTAGCAAAAAGGAAATAAGCTAAATCAGCTATTGCCAAAAACTGAGGAATTTAAATCTTTAAAAGAGAACGATCGTGCGGATTCTTTTGAAAATTTTAAGGAATTTTTTTCCTATTATGCAGAAAATTTACTGAAATGCACCAAAAAATCCGCATGAACGTTCTCTCGTAAAAAATTGAACCTGCTCAGTTTTTGACAATAGCTGATGTAGCTTGGTTCCTTTCTGCTCAACGCGGTCTAAATTCACAAATTTCTGAAAAATTAAATATTTTCTAAGAAGAAATTTGGCAACATTTCAATGCTCATACGGCGGTTTTTCTTTGCACGGCAGTATAGAGCCTCGAGTCTACCCATTGAACGACTGAAATAACGAGGCTATGAGTTAATTTAGATACGATTTGTATACATTTCTATCCACTATCCCCCCCCCCCCNATTTCCCCAAGAAAAGAAAAAAAAAATTACGAAGAATCATGTATGATAAGGAAAATCTCTCTTCACTTATTTTAGATTTTTCACGAATACAAAGTTCGAGATGATAAACTGGCTTATTATTTTGGGTCGGAGTATCGATTCCCCCGGATTGAAACATGTCATCAATCACCATTTCTGACCATCCATGGAAAATTAATGGTGAGGAATTGATCCATATAAAGAAAGTGTCTTGGTGTCAAACATTTAATTACATGGATATTGTATAATAACACTATAATTACTAAAATTTTATTATTATGCTAAATTTCTATTGTTTATATGATCAAATACTACATAATAATACGATATAAAATATATCAATTAATTATTTTTCCTCAATAAACAAATTTCCGCAGCGATAAGGCAAGGTTCTTTTTTGTGTCAAATCGATCATTTACCACCCTAAAAGGAAGTGAAACAATGTTTAGGACATTGCAATCTGTTGGAGCAAAACTAAAACAAATCGTAAAAGTTACAATATATGCCTCGAATATTTGGGCTTGGGCACATATTGCGATCTGCTCAGTGAAACCCCGATTGGAGGAGTTACAGACTGTGGCCAAAATAATGCAACAAACACGAATGAAAACAATTATCAAAACACGTGTGTTTCGAAGTTATACCGACAGAAACTACAAAACTACAAGGTTGAAAAAGTGGCTGGCTTCAGATTCGTAGAGTCCACGGCAAAAAAGTATACGCCCTTTTAGACTGCGTCAGAAGATCCCTATCTTGCCTCTCCTAGTTACTTCACATGTAAAAGTGCCGACAGACGATCCTCTGTTGCAGTCTAGAAGTGCGTATGAGCTTAGGACCACATTTTGCAATAAGGAACCACTATTTCTGGCTCATTTTAGAAACAACATATATGCTAATGGTTTCCTACGCAGATAGGCGCTTATAAAGAAGAGCCGGAGATAGTGGTTCCTTATTGCAAAATGTAATCCACTAGGCGTAGACCTTATTCACAGCGCACTGTCATTAATTGGATTACATTGTGCAATATAAGGAACCACCATCTCTAACTTCTCCATAAAAACACGTATCTGCATGGGAAAATCAATGGCATACATGTCGATTCTAAAATGAGCCAGAAATATTGGTTCCTTAGTGCAAAATGTAATCCAATTTCTAAATAGCCAAAATAAACGTAACTTTAGTTGTTCGTTTCTATGAACCATCACGTGCGAACGATTTTACACTGAGTTTTCCACTGAAAATTCATTCGGTGAACTCTTCCAAGGGAATGTTATGACTCATTCAACCTCTCTTTTTTCTAATAGAAAAAAGCATTCTTATGCGCATTAAAAATTTCAATTTTTTTAAATTTTCAAAAAATTCAGTGTAAAGCTCGACCAAAAAAGCAAGGAAACTCAAAAACAAACCACTCGACAAAGCCATAAACGCCAATCGCAAATCTCTCAACTCGTACGGTCTCGGTTCACATTGATCGCGTGGCTCACCACGTTCAGTCGTATTGAACCAGTAACGCAGAACTGGTTGCACGTCTTTTTCGGCATGACCAGCTTCCAACATCTGCGCAAGTTTGTTATTAAACTTTTCGAAGAGGAACGAGTTCTTCACAAAGGTAAATGATAAAGGATACGTCATAAGAGACTCCTCGACCAAGTGGTAGCTCGTGGGACGCTCCTCGAAGAAGCGCTCAATAGAAATACTTTGCTTAGAGATAAGGGCTTGAGGAATACTCTCCAAGTATGCGTCCGATTCATGAATAGCACGCAGATTCATTATATTTTTCAGATAATAATCGTGATATTCAGCCCTGCGTGTTGAATTCATTGTAAAACTGGTCAAGTTAGTGAGGTATTCTGTATCATGAAAAAATTCCCTATCTTCACTCATCCCCACCGTAAGAACATCTTCAAGCAAGAATGAGCTATGTGTAAGTTTGGTTGCAAGTGTTTTGTACTTATTTTCCTGCAAAAAGAATCTCGAGGCTTTTTCCGCGTCTAACACTTGTATAAATATGTTTGCGTTCTCCATGTCTTTCAGAGAATCGATTTCTGGGTATCGAACTTGTTTTGTTAGCAGAGTCGTCATGCCGTCCAAGAAAACCGTGGAGATAATGATCGTGGCGAAACTGAATACGGTGAAGAGGACCTTACCCGTGTAAAAGCGACCCAAGAGCAAACGTGGAGGGCTGCCACAAATGAAGTAGGAGAAGATTGTCAACATTGATGAGGAGCCCTCGTAAGAACTTCTTTCTGCATCCGAATAGAAAGCCCGAAAAATTTTCTGTTGAGAAAACTGAAAAACATTATGTCTACATCAGTTATTTAATACTTGATAATGCCACGCAAAAAATAGTCGGTGCTGTTGACAGAATCTCCTGTTCACAGGGCTAACACACTTTCCTTGTTATACTTACAGAACTTTTCTGTTGTGAGAACAGAACTTCGGGAGTGAGCACTCTGTCCTCATAACGGAAATTAATGTAGCTGTAACAAAGAACGCGCAGGAGCCCTGTGAACAGAACTATTTTTTTTCAGTGTGTTACGGAAAAACAATTTGCATTTAATCTCTTTCAGCCTTTAGGGTGTGATTGGATTTGTGAAGAGAGACCTTATCTTCCGGGAAAAAAGTTTTCTTACCTAACATTTCGCAAACACTTGAATCGCTTTTTCCGACAACCGAGACATTTTCCCTTTAAACTTCAGAACTAAATACCTTAATTTTTGTTTTAGAGTATCAGATTTCCGTCTAAATTTCTAGATTTTCTTCCACTATGCATCGGCAAAAAGTCAAGAGAACTCTTTTCCGGAAGAGAAGATGACGTCCATTTGCGGACAGATGTGGTCTATGGGGAGTAGATTGAGCCTCGAGGAAATAAATGTATAGATAATGCGAATTCCTGTAATTCGATTTGAATTTACCAATTCCTAGTTCCAATATAGGGATTTTTATGAAATTAGGGCACAATCTCAAATTTCTATATTTCGTATATGTCTGAAGAAATCGCCTTATTCAATATTTCAGCGATGAAACTCTCAAACCACGTAATTCGGTCTACAAGGTAGGTGACTTCCTGTCGTACTTAATTTTTAAATTTAAAACTATTTCAGCGTCACTTATTAAAACCTGCCGTGGTTTTTTTCGCCTGCGCTAGGAAATCTCTGTGAAAAGCTCAAAGAAATGACGTTGATCTGTTCCCCTTTTAAAAAGATAAAACGGGAGCAAAAATATTCAAACATTGCCAATGAGATGCGTGGTTTGGGAGTTTCAGCGTCGATGTGTTCGTCCACATAGGAGGAGAGCTTAGTCTACGGAGGATATAATTGTTGAGCCCAACGATTCTTCGATTCTCGTTAAGTTAGATCAAAATCCCCTTGAGAATTGAGAATTGAATGATTGTCTGTAGTGTCCAAAACAATAGATTGAGTGTACTTTTATAAGCACATTTTATGCGAAAAGAAATCTTAAAATTACTTTTTCGACCGGCAATTTTATGCCCAGGATTCAAGGAAATGGCGAATTTGCTTTTCTTGTCTTCCTTCTCAAAGTACCTACATTTTTGGGACCAAAAATTTTGAACCTTTAAAATTCTGGCTTGAGATTACATTTAAAAGGCAATTCCAGATGTAAACTCCTTTGTCCCACGTTTTTGGGCTATTCCCATTATTTTAAGTTCGCGTGGACAAAGGTTAATTTTTGAATGGACGATAAATAATTACCAAATCTGAAAACTTTTACCTGAAAAAGATGCTGCATGAGAATGAATATCGTGATCGTAATCACGATGAAATACCATACGACTGGCGTGAAAGCTTTAAAAATCACCAAATACTGCGGCATTGGTTGACTGTGTGGAGTTACGAAACACAGCACGCAGGAGTCGACGGTGACAGAATAATCCACATCCGCGGTAGAAATTGATTCGAAATATTTGATGACATTTTGAGACTGCACATGCACTCCGTACTTCTGACCTATATCATATTCATAGACGGATCTAACTTCGGAGCCGAAATCTTGCGGTAGGATAGGATCTTTGAGTTCGTACGAGCAGTTTATCGATTTTTTTAGCGCCTTAAAAACGTCAACGAGATAGATTGACCAATGAGATGACACAAATCGGTCATCAACTCCTTCCTTACCATCGTGTGCGTAAAAGAGAATGCCGACAGGTTTTTGATGCATATTGTCCCAAGAAAAGTCAAAGTAAATTTCGCTCTCCCTCCCGTAGTAAGAGGCGATTTCCTCCGTGAAAGGGTTGTATCTCTCACAGAATGTTCTTTCACAAATAATAGTTTTCAGACCTCTGAAGAAGCGCCAAAAAAAATTGAATACGATTTTTTTCTCTTCTCTTTTAGTTTTTCGTCCGACCTTAGTCTTGTCAGTGGACATTCCCAATGGTCGCTTACTACGCGTCAGTACATAGGGAAGTGTATCAAAAGCCACCTGATTCCCTTCATGCAGCATGAAAACGATATAGTTATTTGAATTCCAGATGTTGTTGCTGTATAGACCCCGGCAGGTTAAATACGGGGTCTGACAGAACTGAGAGGTCTTTGAGCTCATCGGAGGTTAAATTCACTTTGTAATCACATGTTTCCTGATCGGCATTTGATTCCAATGAGGCTCCGTCAACATCAATGCAGTAGCGAGGTAAAGCGTTCTCAACTTTGTGATTCTTGCGGTTTATGACCTTCTTGACATTTGAGTCGTTTAAAAAGTCATTCTGAGTGAAATCAACGGAATCAAAATGACCTCCAAATTTATTCTCTTTGGAAACGGAACTAAGTATCAAACTTAAGGACTCTCTCATGTTGTGCACAAAGAACAGGACATTTTTTCTCTGAGTGTTGTTTGCTAAGTGCATCAGTTTTTTAGGCTCGTCGATGTGAACTGTCTGAATTGTAGTGTTGTGCAAAGATTTAATTAAAGACCCCGCTGACGGATTAGAATTTAAATTTACAACGTAAATCAATTTTTGCTGCGATTGAATGACGGTATGTTTGCACACACCGAATAAAAACGATGTCGAATTTTCGTAATATACGTTGAACATTTGTTGGCTCACCCTTGTTCTTACACGAATGCCCAAAATGAGGAGAACACAACACACTTTGAAAGGATCATGTTTGAAGGTGACCATGACAGAATTAATGTACGTGTTAGTTAATTCTGAGTGCCTGGTAAATTTTGCTCATAATTCACTTTTGTATTTATTTTGATTTTGTGTTCACTCCCCTTAACTTCAACTTGGTTCTTTATTAAGTTTCAAGTTCCTGGCACAATTTAATTCGAAAGCAAAGTTTTAACGAGCTAGCTACTTTTTTAGTATATTTAGAATCACCCAGTTGGTTTTGAAATTTAAAACAAAGAGCTTTACCTTCACAGCGAACGAATTTTCTCGTGTACCACCCGTTAATTTAAACAATTTCACCGCACGGTTGAGTGTCACTACCTAATTGTGGTAGACTTTGGTAAAAAGAACTATGGAATCTTATTTAATAATGATTTTCTTGACATAGGCTTGCTTTATACTCGTATATTTCATTTGTTGTTTTGACATGCTACATTTTCCTGGTCATGTGTCTCAAGTATTTCTCCTTTGTTGATATCCCTTCCGAATTGGAGAATTCAGGGACCGTTCAAATTACTAAACAGACAGTTTGAGTGGACCGCAGTTTACAGTAAACTCGAAGTAAATGAGATCATTTGCATTTTTATGTCAGAGCACAAATATTTCAATAATAAATCTTTCAACCGGTGAAACTTCCTGTCTCATGAAAGATAAAAGCCAACTTTTAAAACACTTTTCTTCTACCATGATACAAACTTAGACTTATGAGTATCTGAACGTTAAGTCAATACGTGAGAGGGTGACATCTCGTCACCTCCCGGCCAAAGTATCACAAGCATCATGTGACATTTAAAAACTTCCGCGACCATTTTATTTTTTACAGAGGAATTTTTCAACGAAGCTGTCCGAAAATTTCACCGAGTTTTCCTCGTGCTGCCGATAAAATTCAGTGAAATTTTCAAACAGATTCAACCAACAATTTCTCCGTAAAAAAATAAAATGGCGGCGGAAATTTTTAGACGTCACATGGCGCTTATGATACTTTGGCCGAAAGGTGACGATATTGATTTGAGGAAAAACATGCTGTTTCAAAAATGCGGTCAATTTTCCGGTGACAACCACTATCAAAACATATTTCTCGCTGAATTTATGATGATAATAATCATTACAAGGTTTGTGTTTGGTAAGAGAGTGTTTCATGATTATTTTGTAAACAAACACTTAGTATCTGCACGTTCGCTTGCTACGTCCAATCTTAAACAAGAGAGATGAGGACGCACAGTGAATCGAGTTAATAGAAGAGGTCGGACATGAAATTGTTAGCTATAATTTCAAATTTTGATGTTTATTTCGTCACATTTTAAATTTCAAGGAAAATTTCACGAAAAAACCTATAGAGCCACTTTTAAAACCTCAAAATTTTGTTTAAACGGAGTCATGAGCGTTTAAAGTTTCAACATTTTGTCCGATCTCTCCTATAGACTCGATCCACTGTGTGACAATAGAAAACATGCAATGTAGGAGGACGGTTGGTTCTGGATAATAGAATTCAGTTGTGATAAAAATAGACAAAAAAGAACCATGGACCAGTTAGATTGCATTTTGTAATTTGGAACTAAAATTTCTGGCAAATTTTTAGAACACCGTATGCACCATTAGTTGCCCAGTGAGTATATGCGGTTTTACGAATGAGCCAGAAATTTTAGTTCCTAATTGCAATATCTACTCCTGGTATTGGTCTACTGTTTTCGGATCGAAAGGCACATTTTGCAACTTTAAGTATTGCAATAACATACCTGTTATTAGAAGCCTAAATGTCTGCGCATCACGAGCATAGAGTGCAATAGAGTCGTAATGTACCTACTGTAGCGCCAATTAAGTAAATCCATGTTGATCAAAGTCGTAAAATTGTTCGTAAAATCCGGGGTTTGCTTAGATAGATCACAATATGCCTAAATTTTTGAGCTACAATTTCCAACTCGAAACCATCCAACAGACATCCTTACCTTAAATAATTGAACGTGTAAAAACAACAGTCAGAAACTTTCATTATGACACCTATTGAGGGGCTTGAAGGACAAGGCGCATGAGTGCAGTTTTTGAAAAATTGGTATATTCATGAAATCAACTATAGAAAACTAGTTAGAAAGTATATTCTGCGAAAAATTCACAACTAAAATCCAACTTTAAAGCATCAAAAAGCGAGTTTAAACTTAGGCTCCATGTAATTTTAAAACTTTAAACACGTACTTCTTGAAACAACGAAAACTGCACGTATGCGGCTAGTTCTCCATGTCCCTCATATGATGGGTATTTTCCATATATTTTTCATCGATCAACATTTAGAACAGGCACTTTTTACATTGGTATCGATAGCCAATTTTTCGAGCTTATTATTACTGATTTCTTTAATTATTTTGACATGAAATCCTATGGACCCTCTGTAGCTCGTTTTAATTTTTTCATTTTCCAGAAATTATGGCTGTCTTAGCGACTTCCAGCCCGGATGGAAGCCAAAGATCGTTGTCTCATAGTGCTTCTTGAATTTTTGTTGAGAGGAATAGGCTTTGTCTAGACAGGTATCAAATGGCTATCCCAGACGTCCAGTTCCCCATAAAGAGCTCAAGGGGACTCTGCGTTGGTCCTCTACGAGAAGCTTTAGATTTAACTTTCCTCCCCCCCCCCTCAATCGAACGAAGCAGTGATCTTCGCTCCATTTTCGTGGTTTGTTTTCCATCATCCCCTGGTTTAATATTTTTCAATATCTTGGAATCTTGGATAGGTCATTCAGCACAACCTAGCGATCATGAATGTAGCAATGACTTGCAGGTCAGTCCACATGGATTTCAGCTCTTCGACTACTTAAACCACGGACGGCTGTTGGAAGGATTCGAGTTTTAGCCCGAAAATTTTGGGCTTATAGCATCCGTCCAAATGAACCCCGGAATTCACGATCGATTCGGTATTTTCCTGAATATTTGTTGGTACTTCGTGATATGCTAAAATTTCGGCTTCTCGGAACAGGTGTGTCTTTCAGGCCGACAAAAGTCAGCAGTAGATCAATAAGTGGTACTCGTTTATTTTTTTATCTATTTTGTCAAAAAAAAAATTACAAAAAAAAACAAAAAAAAACGAAACGACATCAGCCAGAGCCAGCTGTCCTCCCTAAGTACATAGTTGTTTATTTGCCGTTATGTACTTTATCAGACGCAACATTCGAACTTGCGGGTAGTAAGGGTCCCTTTACAAAATTATCATAAAGTAAACTCTCATTAAACACAAACCATGTAAGTAATATATTGCATCATCATAAATTCAGGGAAAAATATGTTTTGACAGTGCTCGTCACCGTAATATTTACCGCATTTTTGCCAGGGTGTGTTTTCCTTCTAACCAATGTGTCAATATTAAATTTCTTGACATAGGTTTTGCTAGGTACTCGTTAAGTCTAAAAAAAAATCTAAATCATTGCGGTAAGAAATTTTATTGAAAGTTGGTTTCTATCCTTAATGATACAGAATACTGGGAATTTCAGCGCTTGAGAGATTTATCATTAAAATATTCATATTGTGACGTAAATATCTTAATGATCTCTTTACCAACGGATGATATTGAGTTTCTTGTAAACTGCGGGTCATTCAAAATGCCTGATTTGAAGTTTTAATGGTCTTCCAGCTCCAATTTGGAACGGATATCAATAAAAAAAGAGAGCAAAAGATGTGGCACATAACTAGGAATTGACAGTTACGTAAAAATGTAAGAAGTCTATATTAACAGTCTGTGGAAAATATAAAAACACGTTCTTATCAGGCAAATCATTATTCCACGATGATTTCCTTAAAATTTGACACAAATTCAAACAGATTCTTTTCCTGTATAGGTGGTAAAACTCATACATTCAGTGAAATTCTTTGATTAAGTAAATAGTACAAGAGGACGTTTGTTTTGTGTTTTGAGGTAATGTTACCGTTTTTCGAGATCATGACCAACATTGGGTGTTTCCAAATATGATGACCAATCGAACGGTGCGCGCAACAATGTTGCTTTCAAATTAAAATTCGCCCCAAAATAGATACTTAAAACTAAAATTTAACAAAAGTGAATTAAACGCAACATGTCCAAGGACTCACAATTTACCTCACACGTAAGTTAATTACGCTATGGTCTTCTCCAATTATTATCCTTTCAAAGTGTGGTTTGTCATCCTCATTATTGGTATCCCTGCAAACACACAAAAGGTGAGTCAACACATTTCCGACCCTCATCACGAAAATTTAACATCGTTAGTATTCAATGTGTGCAAACATACTATTCTACAATCACAGCAAGAATTGATGTACGTTGTAAATTTAAATTCTAATCCATCAGCTCAATCTCTAATAAAATTCTTGCACAGTACTTCCATTCAGACCATATTCATTGACCGACTCGAAAACCTGATAGACTTGTCAGAGAACATTCACAGGAAAAACATGATTTTCCTCCTGAAAGACTTGGGGGAGTCATTGAGTTTAATATTGAGTTCTGTCGCTGGAAAAAATAAATTTGTGGGTCATTTTGACCCCGTTAATTTTACACAAAATACATTTTATAATAGCTCTTGCGACGCACCAATCATGAAGCGGAAGAATTATAAAGTTGCCAATGGTTTACCTCGCTACTGCATTGAAATCGACGGAGCCTCATTTGAACCAAACGCTCGGAAAACTTGTGATTACAAAGTGAATATAGCATCCGATGAGCTCGAGGACCTATCGATTCTGTCAGACCCTGTATTTAGCTTAACGAAGGGCCTTTATAGAAACAACATCTGGAATTCAAACAATCATATCATTTTCATGCTTCATCAGGAGGCTTTTGATACAGTGCCATGTACAATGCTGCTTAGTAAACGGCAATGGAACTTTGGAGTGTTTGGCAACAAAACGCGAGTCATACCGAAACCGGAAACCAAAATGAAAAAATTCGTATTTAAATTTTTTTGGCGCTTCTTCAGAGGTTTGAAAACTATCATTTGTGAACGAACGTTCTGTGAAAGATATAACCCTTTCACAGAGGAAGTCGTTACTTACTACGGGAAAGAGAACGAAGCTTATTTTGACTTCTCCTTGGATAATATGCATAAAAAATCCGTCGGCTACTTCTCCGATGTGGAGAGTACTGAACTAAGAAGTAATGACCTGGAAATGACCCCTCATTGGATGTTTTTACTCCTTGAATCTTTAGAGGGGCTGGAAAGATCATTAAACTTCACTTTTGAACACCTAGATCACTTACTTGACGAATACGAATATGGGTTCGGTCATGACATTGATGTGGGTCAGAAGTACGGAGCTCACCTTCAGTCACGAAATATGATCATCGTTTTTGAATCTATGTCTATCTCGGATACAGATTATTCTGTCAGCGTTGATTCTGGTGTGGTTTGCCTCATAACTCCACACAGTCAACTCGTGCCGCAGTATTTGGTTATTTTCAAAGCTTTCACGCCAGTTGTATGGATTTTCATCGTGATCACCATCACGATATTCATCTTTATGCAGCATCTTTTTCAGGTAATGTATTAATGATAGACCACGGGAAAAGGCCCCACTAAAAAATGCCACCTTACCAATATGGTAGTTACGAGCACACTCGACGAGAGAGCGTGTTGTGAAATATGTGACCCTAGTTGAGTTTGAATCGGACAGGCAACTTTTTTTTATTGATATTTTCTCAAAGCAACACACAAATGTTGAAGAAAGCTCAGTAATATACAGTAAACCAAAAAAAAAAAAAAAAAAATCCTGAACAATAGCGAATATAATACAAGAGAATTGGAAATTATAAATTAAGCAGTATAAAAGATGACCCAAGCTAAAGGGCGAGACAAGAGCTCATGAAGAGGAAGGGTTTCGGTTTGGCTTTAAGGCAATTCAAGGGGAGAGGGCCAGGGTGAATTATCATATCCTTGGCTATTAACACTCCGCGGAGGATAGGCAGCTAAACTGTCTCCGTGACGAGGTATAGAGTATCACTAAAAAATGAAGGCGCTCCAAAACGAGATCGTCTTCTTTAAAGCCAGCACCGGCAGATATTTTTAATACGGATGCATATTGCAATTCAGGACCTCAGACCACAAAAATATAGGCTTCATTCTTGATATTCAAATAATAAGGCATGAGAAATTTCAAGGTGGTGATCTTTTCAGGTTTTTAATAAAACAACACAGTATCAGAGCAGGAAGTTAGGTAACCTGATATGCACTTAAGCTGATTCTAGTTAAATTCTTTTAAGAGCAAAAAAAAGGAAAAAACTTAATTAAAAAGCGTATTGATCGATTCATATTCCTGAATTTTAATCAACCCTATTCGACTCTACGATTCCCACACCTATGACTTTCCAAAAGGCCAAAAACGTTTGTTTCCCCTTATGCCGCAATCACACACTGAATGTGGCTTGAATGCGGAAGTCATCGGCCCGATGCCTGAATTTTGCGCGTGACGCACAAAATTCAGCAACGATTCTCAGAGCGATGACTGTTTTCGTCCTTATTCAGCTGTCATATTCAGCGGGTGATTCCGCCATTGAAAGTGATACCTGTGCAATCATATATATTAGCTCCGAGACCTCCTTTTGCGTATCTGGTAACGCTTAGTTCAAGCGTTCTACCGGGCCAATTTTCATGGTGTTTGCGGCTATCGACAGGCAGTTGTCTCTGAATAAGCCCGCTTTATTTAGATTTTGAAAATATGACCCTGATTTTTTTATATTGCATGGTAAAGTTGCGAATTCTCCCATTTAAACAATGTAATTTTTTATTTTTTGTCATAGTTCGTTTCAGCGTTCTACGGGACCGATTTCCATAATTCTTGCGTTTATCGACAGGTGATAGTCTCCAAAAGAGCCCGCTGTGATCAGAATTTGAAAATAGGACCCAGGTTTTTTTATATTAGAGGAGACCAGAAAGCTTAGAAAGGGGGACAAAATTTGAAATTCCCGCCAATGAAAAATCGCGGGAATTTCAAATTTAGCGGAAAATTGAAGTCAGGGACAAATGTTGAATCTTGGTCTGTTAGTAGGGTGAGTGAATTGGAGGTATGCTCCTTTGCTACAGACTATCCAAAACTGACGAAACGCTCCGTTCCGTTTCGCGTAAGTCTTGGAGTGAAGTTTGAAATAAATGCCGATTTTTTCATTCGATTCTTATTGGATAAATGAGAGGTATGAAAATCTTTTCATTTTCTTTGGCTGTTCTGTTGTTGACGCGGGCCTAAGAGAACGCGAAGCATCCTCTGGGGGTTGGGCCGCGTAGCGGCAAGAGGGCATAGCCGCCTTGTTACAAATAATAACTATTATTACCTTACTTTTTTCAGGTATCCCAAAGTCAAACATTTCAGCAATTCTATTCGAACTCAGCACGAAGCTCTTACGAGGGCACCTCATCAATGTTGACAGTCTTCTCTTACTTCATTTGCGGCAGCCCTCCACGTTTGCTCTTGGGTCGCTTTTACACGGGTAAGGTCCTCTTCACCGTATTCAGTTTCGCCACGATCATTATCTCAACGGTTTTCTTGGACGGCATGACGACTCTGCTAACAAAGCAAGTTCGATACCCAGAGATCAATTCTCTGAAAGACGTGGAAGACGCAAACTTATTTATCCAAGTGTCAGACGTGGAGACAACCTCAAAATTCTTTTTGCAGGAAAATAAATATAAAGCACTTGCAACCAAACTGACGAATAGTTCACACTCGCTAAAAATATTTTTTTTCGCTGAAATGAACAGGGACTTGGGACTCCTCGACCAAATTATTAACCTCGATAATTGGACAAATTTTGTGATGGATTCAGCACGCAGGACTGAATATGAAGATTATTGGATAAAAAATGTAATTAATCTGCATGCCATTTATGAATCGGATGCATATTTGGAGAGAATTCCTCAATCCACTATCTCAAAGCAAAGTGTCTCCATTACTCGCTTCCTGCAGGAGCGTCCCATGAGCTACCACTTGGTCGCAGAAAGTCTTATGACGTATCCATTATCATTCACCTTCGTCAGGAACTCGTTTCTTTTCGAGAAGTTGAATGACAAACTTGCGCAAATGTCGGAGGCTGGTTTTGCTCAACAAACAGTGGATTCGTTTGTAAATGACCGGATGAATATGACGGAGCCTCATGAGCAATGTGATCACTGCGAGCCGAGACCGTACGGTTTGAGAGATTTGCGATTGGCGTTCATTGCTTTGTCGAGTGGTTTGTCTCTGAGTTTTTTTGCCTTTCTATTCGAACTTTACATTCAGTTTTTTGGGACTTTAAAAATATTTAAATATTTGAAGCGAATGAGAATGCTGTTTTCTGATAGAAGAGTAGAAGATTGATGGAGCCACACCATTTACTTTAAAACATTCTGCTCTACCATGTAAATCCTTAAAGACGAACGCAATTCTCGGTTGACACCCGGGACCCTCGGACAACACCCGGAGCGCGGAATTTCGAGTCGGCAAATTTACACCTCTTGATATTCTGTCATACCATCATCCAACATCCATGCCCGAGTTTGTACCTCGTGTCGTATCATTCTTGATTGAAGGCGTTTTAGTAACGCTCATACATCTGATTCACATAGTTAGTTTGGCACGTAATAGTACATAATAGTAATGAGTAAAATATAGAGTACATAATAGTAATGAGTAATATAGAGTACATAATAGTAATGAGTAATATAGAGTACACACTAGTAATTTGTAATATACAGTACAGTATTTGACATAGTGTCTTCGTGTCACGTATAGAAACAATGTATCCTTACGAAAAACTTTACAACTTTCATAACTTAGATCACAGTGTATGACGAAAATTTGATTATTCTCAGCGTCCATTCAGATAACAGTTCTTCACCCAAAAATAGGTCGATATTTAAAGCCTATTGCAAGGTCGCAGGTTCATTGGCGGATTCAGCAAAATGGCAACATTACTTTTTTCCACTTAAACCTGTGGAAATGTACCGATTCTTGGAGGGGCCATGTGCTCTGACAAGAATCGATTATTTACCATAGGTTTAAATGGAAGAAAACCGGTGTTGCCAAATTACTAGATCCGCTTCAGTGCAAGTCTTACAGCGATTACTATTTGTCGATTCGTTTGATTCAGTGACGACTCCGGGATTTTATGACTTTTTTCCCCAATTCGCGTAAATCGGTTTGCGACATTGCCGACTTCCTATCATACTTTTTTTTAGGGGAGGGGGGCGTTTAACAGAGAACTAATCAACGATAATTTAGAGATGCCTGTGATTTTCCTCTCTGTGCGAAGAAAATCCTGTAAAAACTTCAAGGAATGATGTTAATTTGTTCTCCTTTAGAGAAATTAAATAAAAGCGGATGCTTTTACACACCGAAAATGTGTTAAGTGGTTTGGTATAAGTAATAAAGATTGTTCAAAAAATTCAGAACTTCGAAAGCACGTCTCTGGAGGAAATCGCATGTTCAAGAACAAAATGAATATGATTGGTTGGTTGGTAGATACGTTTATTTGGTGCTTTTAACAATTTAGCCATTAACACTTTAGAGGAGAGATCAAAATACTATAGTACAGAACTTAAAAATTTAAAAGATAGGGGTCACAAAAAAGTAGTACAACATTAAAAGTGGGGACATGGAAAGAATACATTAAAGGGTATCCCGGGATAAGCATGTCAAAATGCCCTTGTGAACGGATTTTTATTTTAACCATTTTAAGTCATCAAGGGTGTCCTAAAACTTAGGTTTTGGGGAATTTTAGCCCCCCAACCCCCCAACCCCCTCCGCCCCCCCCCTCAGACCCCCAAAAACCGCTTTTTGGGGCTATTTTTGACTATGCTAACGTCTTTTCCTCATAACTTTCGTAATTTTCGTTAGAATTGAACCAAAATTTGTCAGAATCTACATCAATTAGCTTAGTTT